ATTTTCACCTTTTCCCCTCCCCTCTGCCCTCCCTTCCCCTCCCTCCCACCTCTCTCTCTCCCTCTCCCTCCCCCCTACCCCGGGTGTTCCTCCACTCATAAGCCACGTTGATAAAACTCCCAGCTTCTGTAGGACATGTAATTATTCGGCTGGAAATCCGAGATGAGCTTCAGACCATAGACTTAGGAGGTATACAGACAGTGCATTAATCTGTCCTCTGTGTGACTTGATGAGCTTGAGACCATAGAGTTATGTAACATGCAAAAGGTGCAATAATCCACACAGACCACATAATTTTTATATTTTATATAGGAGACAGATAGACGGTACAATAATATGCCCTGTGTATAGCCTTTTTCTTTATATTAGAGAGCGTGAAAAACACGATCGATCGGAGAAAAATTATAGCTTTTACTTTTATTAAAACAATAGGATAATCGGGAAAATAATTTGTTTGCTTTTATACACAGACAAACTTTGCTGACTTGGTCTGATAATTTTAATAAAATTATTATTTTCAAAAAAAAATTCGTAATTAATATAAGTCAGTCCTTCCAGTCGTCAACAACGACAACTGAAGTTGAAAGCCCAGGTCTGTGGGTGGCGCTTACATGGTTGAAGTAGCCTAACCGTTATAGTAACCATCAGCTTACCGACTCACCCGTTTGTGTGTCAAGTTCTGAATGGAGACCGCGAAGAGACTTTTGCCCCCCCACACCCCCACCCCACCCCCAGACGGAAGTAGACAGTAATATGAACAAAAGCTATGTCGTTCCTCTTCTGTACTCTAGGGTATCAAATAAGAAAACAAAACAAAAAAAAGAGGGGGGCGGGGTAGGAATAAACGGAGCGGGGGTGTGGACAAGTGATCCAAATTGATAAATGGGGGGAGGGGGTGGGTGGAATAAAAAAAAAATTTAAGGGGGGGGGTGGCACATTTAACCTGATACCCCTGTGCTAGTAGGAACAAATCTGTTTTATGTCTCCTTCAGTGAATAAAATAAAGAACAAGAGATCATTAAATTTAGTGATTTTACTGTGACAACTTGTCCTATTTAGGAACAAATGAGTTTCATGAAAAAAAAATTTAACCAATGTATTACAGTTTGAAAAATGCCCAGAAAATTGAGGTAGCCAACTCGGTTCCGTTACAATAAATACTGAGGGTAATCTGCCATTTACAGAAAAAAAAGAAGTTTCATTCAGATATCTAGATCCTGGATATTGTGTTTCACATGATCGTCGGTCGTGGCAAGCTGAAAAACAATTTACGGGAGTTATGGAAAAAGAAGC